ATTATAAGAAACTATGCTCATTTCGATTATGTTCCATATAAACTTATATTTTCAATATCTATTTTAAATTGTTCAATGGTAAATATGATATATTTAGCTGTGAGTATTAAGTTAATCTTGGCCATAAGCGGATCAACGGGTGTGCGGATATGGGTGATAGATCCCCCGACTCGCGTGAAAGGTAAAAAGAAATGTGGTGTTCATAAAGTATGCAGCAAAAAGTGTTGTTTTGAAAGCCCCCCCACGACCAAAACCTGGATCCGCCATTGACCCTAATACTTTTTTTTCTGTGCACTCATTTACACCCCCCGCTTGCACAGGAAATAAATTTGTCCTGAAAAAAGATAAAAGCCCTTCCGATAATATATGTACATATGTTCCTACTCTGGACGACCAGGAAAAAAGTTTATCAGTAAACCTTTTACAAAGTATGCTTAATATGATGTGTATGATTATAGTGCCCATAATAATAAAGCGAAAACTAAATTTACATATTATTCTTTATAAGAAAAATGTAAGCATGTCAAATAGTAAAAATTCCTACATTTATAAATCGAAATTGGACGAATACCGAATCCTTTAACATATTATAGGTTATAAGATATAGGTACGAAATTAAGCCCTTTATAAATCAACAGTCCTCTTCAATAATATTAAATATACGAATACCTTATGTCAACTGTGTATATGTTTAGAAACATATTGGTAGGATTCGAAACGTTCTAAAGTTATTTGAAACATTGGGGGGGAGGCGTAGCTTTTATAGTATTAGCAGTTCAATTTGTTTGTTAAAAAGAGCTTTTAATACATTTAAAGTAAGTGATTTAATAAATTTAAAAGTCATGTTGAAATCTGAGTCCTAAGAATCGCTCTGTTTTAAATATTTTGAATAATTACTGTGAAAATGTTTCGAAACATAACTTGTCTCGAAAACTGTTGATTTATGCAGGGCTGTAGTGCAAATTTCTGAAGTGTTTAAGCATTGTTCTTGAAATATTAATATAATTTTAATGTCGAATACATTTTTTTAAAGAAATTACGAAAACATTTTTAATATATCTGAAATGATATTTGTAATATTTGTATAGTTTTATTTAAGCTTAAGTTGATCATTGTCTCAAGTTTTCAATACAATACATATTCATCTAAATTCGACCCTATATCATTGCATTATAAGGTCAATTGAGTAATTTCTCTCCGTGTGAAAGCTGGGCTCGTTAGCCTGACCATGGCCAACAGGAGCCGTAACAACAAGGACGCGAATATAGATGCAGGCATGGAAGAGGGCTGGCAGCTTAGTCATGCCTGCCAGTGCTGCGTCGACATCATAGCTTTATCCGCCCCCTTTCCCTTTCTCTGGCCCTGCCACGCCCATTATCCCAGGCAATACCCACTCCCGCCTTTCTCCGCTGTTGTATGTGACTTGCATGCGGCGCTGAGCGCCAAAGTTTTGACTTCAATTTGCCCAGTTACAAATTTTGGTCTTCTCCAGCGGTTTTTCCTACGCTTCTTTTTTGTTTTTTTTCTGTGGTTTCGACCCATCTTGCGGAGAAAAAAAAGTAAACCACAGCCAAGACGGAAGCAAGAGGAGCAAAAATGTGGTGAACGACTTGACCAGCATTGGGGCGACGTGTTTTGGCCACATCAGCGGCAAAATCATCATCATCACCAGAGAACAACAAACACAATGGTTAGGGGCTAGATGGAGATAGAACTTTAAGCCCATTCCTTGGAGCGATGACAAATCAGCCGCAATGAGAGAGTTGCAGATGGCAAATGTGACAGGAATTTTGGAGAGGAGTTGGAAATGTTGCAAGGAAAATCATCATTATAATGCATCAATTTATAGATTGTAGGGCTTAGAAATATTTATAAGAAATACTGTATTAACTGGGTTAATAAATGGCAAGCAGTAAAGATTACTATTTTTTTGTATTGTATAAATTAAATAACAAATTGGTAATGCTAACAAAAATGTCCTTGAAAATCAAGCCTTGAATATTGAAGAGTTAAACCTAGTTCAGAAATTCCTAAACACTTGTGGCCTCAAACGAGTTTAATGTTCAGTGCCTGGAGGAGAGGAATTAATAATATTGCAAGCAAAATCATCAATAAAATACATACATTTCTATACTGTCAAGTTAAGAGTCATTAATATGAAATTAAGTTTTAGCTTGGTTTAAAAAAGACAAGCGCTAAGGGTTTTTTCAACATTAAAAGGTTTGCTTTATTTATTTATTGTAACAAATTGAATAAAAAATTGGTAATGCTAACAAGTGTGTGCTTGAAACTCAAGCCTTGAACATTGAAGAGTTAAACCTACTTCAGGAATTCCTAAACACTTGTGGCCCCCGACGAGTTCAATGTTCAGTGATTCGAGGACAGGAAAAAAATATTGCAAGGAAAATCATCAATACAATGCATACATTTCTAGATCGTAAAGTTAAGAATCATTGATAAGAAATACTGTTCTAACTTGGTTAAAAAACACAATCACTAAGGATTCTTTTTTAACATTAAAAAGTTTTCTGTATTTATTTATTGTACAAAATGTATTTAATAATTGGTAATGCTAATAAGTGTGTGCTTGAGTTTCAAAAGCCTTGAATATTTCATGCCTAGACCCAAACCTACTTCAGGAATTCCGAAACACTTGTGGCCTCAGACGAGTTCAATGCTCAGTGACTGGGCAAGAGCGAAATAATGCGAAACGTCTTTGCACTTTTGCCTTTTCTAGGAAGCGGAAATTGGAAAAATACTGGCGGCATTTTGTTGGACAGGTCGTCGTCGTCGTTGTCGGGCAAGGAAAATAAAACCAAGGCACTGTGAAGTGCGGAAAAAAACACAAACTGTCAGTGACAGCATTAAAACTAACAGGAATGGAGAGCGGCATTCTCAGCATTTTGCACATTCCTGGGGCATCGACAGGACCCAGGACGAGGACCCAAAAGTGAACTAGCGGACTAGCCTCAGACTCGTGTGGCATGCCACATGCAATTCAATAAGAATTTCCCACTTACCACCAATGTAAGGGGTGATTTAGACGGGGGGAGGGGGTGTAACTATTCCAAATGCATCCCAAACACTTGCTGTGGAATTCGTAATTGTGTCACATAAAGCCAACGAGGAGTCCTGGTCATAACTATAACCCTATGGCTACGTGATTCAAATGCGACGAAAAGCTAACAAACCCAAAAAATGGCTAGACGTCATTTATGGATGCAGAATCCGGACAGATTTTCATTTACAACTGTGTCTCTTTAGTTCGGGGTTCGTAAAATATCACTTATCCTGCTTGGCACTTAGAATGTAGGTACATCAACAGATGTGGCGCAGCAAGATTTTTTTAAAGTTATGAGTTATGCTTTTATGAGGAATGATTCTGATGGGACTGAATGGCGGGGAAACGTCTCTTTTTTATGTTTTATATGCAATTTATTTGCAGCAGGGAACAAAGAAAAACGTGCAGTAACTTTAAACAATGTTTGTTCGTAAGCAAGTTTTTTTTACTCTTAAAAATTTTATTTATTGCTTGCTTAAAGCTCTAAAATTTTGAATAAAATCATACTAAATTTAAATATTCATCTATTTATGGTTTAATAAAAAAAGTTGTATATAAGTACTTTCGTGTCAAAATTGCAGAGGAAACATTTTTTTTGTATTTTATTCAGTTTATTTGCATTTAAAGAATAAAGTAATTTTTGGCAATGTTTTATAAAAAATATATATTTGATAAAAATTTTAATTATTGGTTGCTTAAAACGATATATTATAAATTGGTTCGGTAAAATCTGTTTAAAATAATACATACAAAAAAAACAACTACAAAAAATCATATAGATTTTAAATGAGGGTGACACAGAAATCACATAAATCCAAAGAGTTAACCAAAGGTTAAAAATTGTTGAAGAATATTTTCATTAATTAATTTTTAACATCCGATGTCTAATAACACTTGATTGAAGGTTGAAATGTCAATATTTAAATTTTGTATAAATCATACTATATCTTAATATTAATCCATTTATGTTTTAATAAAAAAAATTTGTATCCAGGTAAGGTTCACGGAGAGCGGATATTTAGAAAATAATATCACAAATAGACAACACTTATGACTATTTTTAAATAATGTTAAAGGGGTTTACTTTAAGGTCTGCTAGGTGATTTATACTCATACTTAAAAAATAGTGATTTGTTTTTTAGGTCTTAAAATTCGAATCGTAAAAACATTCTATATTTCCATCCCCTTTTGAGGTTGAGTAATCTTCAATTATACCGCCATTTGCGGTGTGGCAAAAGCTGAAGACGTTAAAACCCAGCTCATGACTAGGCCGGAACCATGAACTAAAGAGTTCGAATTAAATGAGTCAGTGTGGTGGTGAAAAGCTCAAGGACAAAGTTTATAATTCCTGAAATACTTTGTCTGGTTGGCGAGAAAGAGTTTTGCGGGCAGTAGGCGAAAATTACCAGATTTTAAAATAAACTGGATTACTAGCGTCTAATGAATGTCATATTCCTGTCTAAATTTTAGCTCTTATGGTAAAAATACATTTTTAAACCCATTCTGCTTGCCAACAATACGTCTCACATCCAAAATTTGTGCCACCAACAAAACCAAATTACGATTTTTTGTTTTTTATTTTTATTAAAAATGTAAATTCTGAAAATGCGGAATACCATAGTTCTCTATACCATTGACAATCTGTTAAGGTTTTCTTTTTATTTTTGTTGTCTGCCGCGCTTCGATCAGTTGCAATATCTTCGGTATGCTGCGATGAACTTTTTCGACTGTTTACATTTTCAATACCATCGATTTCTTCCTTTCTATTTGTTGTTGGGGATTACAATTACAATTATAATGCTGCATTATGCATGTGTGAGTGTGTGTCGTGTTTATAGGTATGTATTATGAATTTTTGCGGCCTTCGGGGGCACACAAATTGTGTCGATCACAAAAAAGGAAAACCAAGCAAAAGGGCAATATACATAGACAATATATATATACGATGTCATATTTTATATATATACTTTATTATATACTCGTACAACTAAAGTCCAAGCATAATCGCGTGACTGACTGTCTGATCGGGTGGTGAAAGAGTAGAGAGTATACGTCGAGTCTTGCACCTTCGCTCGAGTCACAACAAGCTGAATCTGCATGAATTTGATTTAGATGCCTAACATTCACTCAGTGATACATATATATATATAGACGTACACATGTACGCGACTGCATGTTGTATAATTTATGTTATATTGGTATATATATATATTTTCTAGGCATATCCAATATTGCGCGAAGCAAGCAATTCGTTTCACATCTAAAACTTCATCTCTCGATGGAAAAGCATTTTGGTAATACAATTTCGGGATTTTCGTTTTTCTTTAGTTTTTTGGGCTTTTATTTTGTGTTTTTTATCTTGGGTATTTCTTTAAGGTTTGGCCACGACGCTGAGACGATCTACGATGTTTGTGGCTGATGTTGAGCTGTCCAAATGCACCATAACCAGATGAGGCCCTGCTCCCCGCTTACTGCTCCTCATCGCCCAGCTCGTGCTTAATCTTGGAAAAGTCGAACGTCTCGCCAGTGCCGCGCTTGAATATGTTCAACACATCCAGGCAAGTGGTCTCAAAGTGCGTAGTCGCATCATAGGACTCCGAAATGAAGATCTGCGACTCGGATCCATCATCGATAGGCTCCAAGTAGTCCGAAATGGTCACAAACTTTTGTGCGATCGGCTCCAGCAAGTCCAAGCCAGGCTTGATCTCCACCTCTGGGTTCTCGGTCTCAACGGTGGTCGAGACCATGCCCACGAACCAGCCCTTGGCGGCCACCTGGTGAGTGGAGCTCACCAGCGACACGTAGATGTCCGACTTGCGGCCCACCTGCTTCTGTGGAATGATTATCTGCGTGGAGAGACCATCCTTGGTGCTGGCCACCGGATGGTCCAGAATGCAAATGCAGCGAATCACCTTGCCACGCTTGCGCACCTGTCAATCGGAAAGAAAAAGAAGTACTCCATTAATGTTTATTCGGAGAGGTTTGCCGACATAATATTGACCAAGTGATCATTGTTACCAAACTAGTAAATCTTTAAAGGAAAACCTTGTGAATATCTCACCTTTTCGGGCACGTAGCTGGGATCGCAATAGACCTGCTTGCACTTGGCGACCTCGTCGCCGGAGCGCACGCCCACCACCTTGCCACCCTCGCCGAGGACGATCTCGTCGATGGGCTTGTCCAGCATGTAGGTGCCGCCGTAGATGGCCGACAGTCGGGCAAATCCCTGGGGCAGCTCGCCCAGGCCGTACATGGGATAGAGGTAGGGCGACTTGCCGTACCGCGCCAGCGAATCGGAGTAGAGCTTAATGCGCCGGATGGTGTTAACGGCCGGCTCGTTCAGATACTCGTCGTCGCGGAAAAGGGCCAGGGCGTGGCCAGTGAAGTCCTGCGTGTTCCTGTCCAGGCCAAACTTGTCGTACAGACCCTGCATGTTGGCCTTGGTGGGGTCAAAGTCCTTCCAGGTCTTGGGGTCATCTTCCCGGAAGTCCTGCACGTAGATGAGGAAGTTCCGGAAGCGACGCTTCTCGAACATACCTGCAAATATATACAAATATTTACTTTTGTATACCTCATGTACCATATTGGTCAGTTTTGGGAATAGGATCTGCACAGAAGGGAGTGCGGGAGTCCAGGGTTTCAAGTTTCCCCGTTTCATTTTCATTTGCATGCCACAGACACACACTCATGTGGATATCCGCACGCAACTTAAGTTTGAAACCATTAATTTTGGGGGCGGGCGAGCCACCACCAACAATCAGAAACCACTTGCCACCCTGTGACGTCATTCTGAGCATATGTGTAATGCGGCCACAGTAAGGCCTTGACAGACAACCATTTTACTTTCAAATTAAAGGATCCTTGAGGTCTTAATTTTTTTTAAATGTTTAAAATTGTTATAGAATTCATTGTATTAGTTTGAAAATGGAAATTAATATTAAAAAAAGTTTACGTTTATTTTCTATCATATAAAACAAATTAAGGGCCGTTTTCTAAATTCTAAATTTCCATCCGTGTTCTATGTAGTTTTATACTTTTATGATATTAACAGTTAAAAAATGATAACAATTAAAACAAACTCACAATAATATTGTAGTATAAGAAATCTATTCAAATTGTTTTTTTTTTAATAGCTAGAATAGGAAAAAAGTCCAACTTTTCTTAAAATACGATAAAAGTAGAGAATAAATGTTATTTTTACATGATGAATGGCTGAATGGTTGAAAGTCTTCGCTAGGCAAGCTCTACTGTAAAGTGAAGGGGTTCAATGCGCCTCGCCAAAAAGTTGGTTGCAAAAACTACTAAAAATTGAAATGGCAACAACTCAAGACCCAATCATAAATAAATAGAGCGTGTTTAACTAATTGCAATTGCTTGCTTCCGTGGAGAAGAGAAAAAACTTATATTTCAAGCAAAGCAAAATTAAGGTGTAAAATGGAAGCGAGCAATTAGCGGCAGGTGTATGAATCACCGAAGAGCGATTTAAATTGAGACCCCCAAACGCATTAGGGCGTTAATAGTTAGACAAATAAAAAATAAACAAGGTGTGGAAATTTGTGGGGAAATTTTATAGAAATTCTTGGCCAAGCAGACGAAAACAACCGTTTTTCGGCTCACACACATACGTGTCACAGTTAAAAAATCAACAACAACAACAACAAGAGAGTAGCCAGCGAGTGAAAAAGCCGAGACAAAGAAGAAAAGAGAAAGAGAGGGCGGAAGAAGGGGAAGCAGATAACAGTCGAATACGAGTACATACACACACACACACGCACAGCTGGTAATTTGCACAATTTTCGAAGAAAGGGGGTTACAAAAAAGAGAGATATAATAAAAAACTCACCCATGAGATCGGATGCCAGGGCCTCCTTCTGGTCCACCGGCACCTTGGCTATCTTGCCGCCCTTGTAGACGTAACTGCCCTCGATGGACTTGAACTCCAGGTAGCGGGTGACGCCCGTGTGGATCAGCAGCTTGACCAGCTGTCCGTTGGCCATCAGGAACTTGGGAATCAAATCCACGTTCCAGTCCCGGCCACGCCCGAAACGCTCGCCGGGCGGCTCCAGGCCGTAGCGCTGGAAGAGCTCCTCCAGCGGCGTTATGGAGGCCGACTCGCCGCCATAGTACTTGTTCCGATCAATATGCAGCACCTTCTTGCCGGACACGGACAGCATCCCGCTGAGGATGCACTCCTTCAGGCCCGTTCCCAGCACAATCGCGTCGTATTCCTCATTCATTTTGGCTCAGGCTCGGGCTAACACTTGTCTTCTGGCAATCGTATTCTCTATTAGTTTCTATCCGGGCTTTTTTCGCCTTTTTCACTTGCTGCGACGTTCGATTTGGTGGACTTTTCTCTGCGCTCAATAATTTTTCTCTACTCGCTCGCCTCTTGCTCGTCCGCTTTGCGCCGCCCGTTCGTCGTCACGCCGTTTGCTGGTCACGTCACGTTACGTTACAGTTTTCTCAGCGAACTCAGGGCTGCATTACCGCGAGTTATCGGCGGTTAATTCTGCACGGAACACGGGGAGACTACATTTAATTTTGAATAAAAATGGAAATATTAAATAATATTCGGCTGTTAATTTGAAAGTTTTAAAATTTCTTACATTTTAACGCCTTAGGAAGTTCAACCTCTAAGATTATGGTGTTTGCAGGGCTGCATTAGGGCCGCAAAAATTAAAGAAAGCCATTTCAAATTTTTACTTTTACATTATTACGAAGCGCAAAGCAAGAAATTAATACGTTGTATTTAAATGAGACCTACTAGGACAGTTCTAGTACAGTCCGAATTAGATTGCCTTTGTACAATGTACATACAAATGTGGACCGCCCTAATGTACATACATAAGAAATAATCTTTTTTTTCGATTAATAAATAATGATTATAGTTTGAGAAATTCAGTAAAATTATAAAAATTATTCATTTTATTATGATTTTCATTATATCAGACATACGGTGCTTTCATAAAAAACTCTTTGGACGTAATTCGAGGGAAACTCTTACTGATGCTTACGTCTATTTTCCCCGAATTTTGCTTTAAGTTTATAACAATATGTTAGCTAGCTCCTAGCCCAGAAAGATAACTAAAAATTTGGCAGGAAGAAAGATGGCAATATATTAAGTTATAAATTTGCCTAATAATACTTTATTTGTAACTCATTGTGCGCCAAATACAATGGTTTGATTTTTGATCGATATATCGCATACTGCTTTATCGATAGTACTAAAAGTTACGCGAAGCGTGGAAGCGTTGCCACCCTAGACGTTAAGATGTTGGCGATTTTTTGCATCCAGATATTTTATCACACAAAAATAAACACAAATTTGAAATGTATTTAAATGATATACGTGCTTTAACATTCTAAATACAAATATAATAAAAGCCCGCCAAGTATTTTTGAATTCAACACTGCTATCTGCACTCTTCTTGCCCACGCAGCTCTTACGGCGGTTGCGTCCTATTGCTGGTCCCTCGCACACACTCGAACAGCTGATGTTTTCCCCACACCGAGCTGATGAAGCCTCTATAGAAAATAGAGGTGATTTTTGGTCGAAACAGCGAGCGGTTCGGACGCGAATTCGGACGCGATTTTGTATCGGGTTATTATTTGGGTTGTTACGTTCTCCGCGGTCGTTTCTTGTTTCTTTGTTTCGTCGGATTTTCGCGTGTGAAGGCGCGCAGGCAAAACTAATCATACATAATCATACATTTTCGTGGAGAAAAAACACACGGCAATGTAAATGTTTGATTATTTTCATTTAAAACGGAGCCAAACAACTGTGTATGTGAGTGTGTGTGTGTGTTTGCTGGCTGCGTGCTTGTGTGGAAAAGTGAAAATGCGATTTGGGCCATAATTGTATTGAAATTCTTAGCAACAACAAAGCAACACCTCGAATTGGTGGCAAAAAAAATAAAATTAAAAGAAAAAGAAAAGAAAAACCGAACAAAACAGAAATAACAAAAAAAGGTTCAGGCTAAGAAGTGGAAAAAGTGAGCGGCGGTGGGATTTTTCTGTGCTGGCCAAGTGGAAAAGGTCTTAATTGAATAAATATTAATCGGAAATTCGGCTTCGCGGAATAATAATAAAAAGTAATTAATGTCTCTTGTCCCGCTCGCACTTTCTGCCTGACCTCGGTTATCATATGTTTAATGTTCTTGTTGTTGCTTCGAATGCGCTGCAACATTTTGTTTTGTTGCCATGCTGAAAATTGTTTTCATCCCTGCGTAAAAATAGTTTCAAATATATATAATAAAAAAAAACCCCCAAGGAGTGAATGAAAAAAGTTCCCCAAACAAATCAATTGATCGAGAAAAGGAGCATATAAATCCACGTCTACTCTTTTATTGCTATTGTTTTATTGGGTAAGTTTTTTCGTTTGAATCAAGTTACCATATTAAAAATTGCAAAGGCAAAAGTCGGAGGGAAAAAAAAACATAATAAACCACAGACGGCGGCAATCTACAGAAAAAACAAGTTGGTTGCCAAGAACCAGTTAAGCGTTGCAGACCAACTGCCCCTTCCCCCGCCCTCCGTCCCCCAAAACCGATGACGGGTTTTTACCTGCCCGCATCATCCCTCTCGCTCCCTCCCAAACACACAGCATCCGATCGTTCTGGATTTTCCCTCTCTCTCTCTCTCTTTGACTCTACCTATCTTTGTCTCGCCGGCATTTAATAAAAGGCAAACAGATTCAAACAGTCGCGGTTTTAACTTCTTCTTCTATGCGGCTTTGGATTTCTTTGCACAAGCACTGCATTTGAGATGCTTGGCCCCACGGTGCACAGTGGGATAGTAACCTAAAATTGGTAATGTAGAGTGGAAAGAAACCGACCCCCCACATTGAATAGGCCAATAGGGCGCACATAATCTAATTTTACTTTTAGGAGGTCACAAAATGAATTAATTTAGCATCTATTATCTACAAAATATTTCATAAGATCCCTATAATCATTGGCAATTGTTTAAAAACTGAATTTATTACATTTTTAATTACATTTTATAAATTAATCGTAAGGAATAACAAATGTTCTTGCTTTAATTGGAATTCAAAACATTAAGAATATATAATTCTGCCGCAGTATTTAATTTTTTAGGTTACTAGATTTCTTTTAAAGTTAATCTAAAACAGAACCACTGTTTCTGATCAACACTTCAGCTGATACAAATAGCAGCTGTCAAAAATTTCCGTTATTTACCTGAACGGAAAAACAAAGTAAAGCCCTTTTTACCTGTGACATGCTTAAAATTCCATCAATGCGTATTTTTTATTGCTCTATTTTCGTATGCTGTAAAAGGCAAAGGGGTTACTTGAGTTAGCTTAGAAAATGGAAATTTTGAGACCGCTCTGGGTTGTATTTTCTTGCCAACCACTGTGCGATGTCTTTGGGTATTTCTCCATCTGTCCCCCTCCCCCTTTCACCATCTTTTCAATTGAGTTCAACGGTAGTTGACGTTACTCGCTTGCTAATTGCAGTTGAGAGAGAAAGAGAAAGAAAGAAAGAGAGCAAACAACAACTTTTAACTGTTACTTGATGCGTTGTTTGCTCGTTTGTCTCTGCTTCATGCAATCTATTAGTCGCTCTCCGTCGCACGCCCCCACCCCCACTCCCCCTCTCTCTCTCTGTAGCTCTCTGTTGCTCCAGGTACCGTTAAGACAGAGCTTGGAGGCAATTGACTCCGATTCGCAATCCGCAATTCGCGATGCAGTGGAAGCGAAAACAGCAAAAGACGAAGCAGAGACAGAAAGAGGAAGAAACAACGGAAGCAACCGACTTATCTCCTGTTTTTACAGTTTAACGCCGCCGATTATGGTTGGCTTAGTGCTCATTTAATGTTTATAACCAAAATATACCCACTGTTTGCGACGTGTCTCATAAGCAAATTACACTTATCGCCAGTACAATAGAACTATCCATATATATCGTAGTTTAAACTTATTTTATTTCAAAAATTTCCATAGTTTATCACTTAATTGGAAATTGTAAAGTTTTTTCTGCCCACATGGGAAAAAATTACGAAGTTGCACGTTCTCCCAGAGGTAAAATAGAATTGTCATTTAATCTCTTTCAAGCGTAACCTTTCAAAATTGTAAAGTTAAATAAATATTTCTATAACATGTTCCCCTTCAAATTGTATTTATCTTAAAACCGGTTAATGATACTGCCCTATTCAAGGGATTTTCCAACCCGAACAGAACCTGCCCACATTATCAAATAATAAGATCCACTAATAGATGGTTGTTAAAGCTAATTGCTAGCCACTACAATATGTTTGTATGCAATTATTAAAGATTATCAAAACCAAATACTATTGAAGCTTATTCTAGGCTTCAATTTGCACAATGTACATGTATAATTATTCAGTTTGCCCGCGGTTGTACATTATAAATATGAGTGTTGGAGTAGCTTATCATCCCATTCTTAGATGCCCAAAAAGTTTTGTTTTTTTCGAATTTCAATGCAAAACTTGTACAGGAAGTTCCTGGCAGTTCCAAAATGGTTATAGCATTAACTGTTGTGTCGAAAGGCATGTAAAATGATAAGCGAATTCCGGGGAAAATGCCACTTGTATCTGGGTGTACGAGTACGTGGCTTCGACACATCGCGTGGCTTTTAGCTACGGGGTCTTATCACTACGTCAGCTGGCTGCTATATAAATATGTATATTCCTTGTCTTCAATATGTACAAAACACTACATATTCTACGCTTTCAAGTGCTTCAGTCACACTTTCGGTTTATTTAAAGCAATCGCTGGCCGTCCAGGGAAAATGTTTTCGATTTGTTCCTGGCCTAACTTAATTGATTACACATTGCGTTCTTATGGTTCTATGACGATTTGGTGTTAGTTTTTGTTTATGGTGTGGATAATAGAATATGCGATTGCGGATAGGCAAATCGCATGGATAGGGCTCATAAAACTCACTGCTGTCAATATGATTTGTGCTCAACGTTCGGTTATCGCTTAATTTATAACGTCTTTCTTATCGTTCCAAAGTTTCTTTGTCTTTTCATTGTGACAAGAAAAGCTTTGTGTCTCTATTTAGGTATAGGTACCATTTTACAAATAAGTTTTAGTACTTTCCTATTTAAACATATTGTTTAGCTCAGTTTTTTGCGCAACAGCAGACGCTGACAAATTCTTAAAATAACTTAAGGGAAATCACTTGTGTTTACAAAACAAGATCAAAGTGAAATCGTTCACATAATTCTGTGTATTTCTGCTGACCACAAACAAAGAATCTCTACCAACCTAAATTTAATTTCATTTTTATTTGAGCTACTGCTTTCGTTATCGCATCCTGTGCAATTTAGTCGGGTTTTTGTGGGTGCCTTGTTTATGATCCCATTTTTGCTTGTATTCGTTATAAGTCTTTTTTTAACGCTTATATATTAAACATTGTTATATGTTTATAACAAACACTATCTATTTTACTTCAAAATATGGAATATAATGTGTATTTTTCAGTTGTTGTACCTTGTTAAAACAAGTTAAGCGAGATCTAAAACTTGTTTGCAGTTTTACTGCCCTACACTTTCTGGTTCATAGAAAACAAACAACTTTTGCTTGTTTTCTTTTTAACTCCCCTTACTCCCACTAATATGCCATTAATTTTTATGACTTGCAATTGAGCAATCCTAAATGGAGGGTGCCGATGCTAGGGGCACCTATTGTTATATTACTTACTTAGTTCGTATCGAAAGTCAATCGATCTCTGGCACCGTTGCAAATTAAGAAGGAATGCGAATAATTGAATACATTAGTATGTTAATTTGGCTTCGAGCGCTTTGCTTAGGTCAAAGCTTCAATCAGACGTATACTAAGTGTAGGTGCACAGTTGTTGAATAGTTGGCGATGAGTTCGGGCTGCTTCGTGAGTCGTAATCGAAGAATCTTTCACTCGAAATATAAAAAATAATTATACAATATCAACTCCTCTTTGGAATATAATAAAGATATTACTTTTTTTATATGATAAATGTTCAGCATCCTGTTTAAAACCGTTTTTAAACACAGTTTTTTTTGGAAATCATCAATACCATTTTTTTTTAAAGAGTAAAAAAGGTTTAATAAATTCATCGCAATTTTTAGATAATATCCTAATAAAGTTTGTCAATGGTCCAACCCTTAAGATATGATAAAGCTGATTATAGGAAGAAATACTTTAAAACAAATATTTGTTCTATTTTCACATTTGTAGTGTAGTTTGCAGAACTTTAACGATACGAAATAATAACTTATTTTAAACCAGACTTCGATTTCTTGTCACGAGCCCTTCTCCATCACAAAAGTTAGCCCTGTCTGTCAACAGTGGTGACGATGTAATTGAAAAGATAGCAGCAGCGAGTGGAGGCGCCCCCGTCAACAGTTTCTAATTAGTTGTGAAACTTTGTGGCCCCTTCGCCGCCCATTGTGGAGATGGGTGTTTTCTTTTTTGCTAGTCTGAAATTTGTCTCGTCGCCGCGAATATTCTCAGAGTGTCGGAAGTTTTCCCATGTCAAATGCCAAAGCATCGTAAATTTCGAACTCCATTGTTCAGACTCACAAAGATGCCTTAATTAACCAGCCCACAGAATTAGCATACGAACGATGTTATGGAGAGTATAGTTAGAGATTTGTATGCTGTTTGTCGTGCTCGTTGACGTGATAAGATTTATACTAATAGCGAGTTCGCTACAGAACTGCCTAAAATAATTTATGGGAGTTGAAGTCTAAGTTTTAAGGTGCGCAATTGCATTAATTTGTTGGTACTTATATATGTATATTGTTATCGGTGGAAATAATTATTCATCGCTCAGATTGCAATATCAATTATACGCCCCGATGTATGGACATTAATATCTCGACTGGGAAAATGGCACAACAGCTGGTACCCAAGTGCTTTTGAACCCGATAAATTGTTCAGCTTTTAAGTTAATGACGGAAAAGAACGATAAATATGGAAGTGGAAGTTATGATAAAGAAAATGTGCTTCTTATAGGAACTTGAATAAAATAAAAAATTAAAACGCAGAAGTTCCAATTTTTGTTGGATTTCTGTTTTGTTGAAAAATTATTTATTGGCCTAAGATTTTGAAAAGATGAATCGTTCTTGAAAACAATAAATAAATTCCTGAAAGAGCTGTATACAATGGCCGGGAATTTACCTTTTGACCAAATGGTTGAGTTCAAGTTATGATAGATCTGTATAATTGTTCAACGCGAAACAATTGGTAAACAATTAAAAATTGCGCATTGAAAAAATAAAGGGTTATAGTTTATAGTTTGATTATCCAATTTTAATTGTTTTGAAATTATTTTGTAATCTTAGATATTACTCATTAAATATTTGAAAGGCTTCGGCTAGCATTGTTTTCAAAAAAGATATGCGCCTCAAATTATAATTATTACTAAACATATTGTTTGCTTTTATTTGCCCGCTTTATATGTATATATATAATTAATTTATAATTGGCCTGACCATAAATGCGTTTTCAATGCAAGGTCGGGCATTTATTGAACTGAAGTGAACACTTAAACGAAAAATATTGCCCAAGCAATTTTAAATATAAATGGCTAGGCGATTCTTACATATGTGAGTTTTTCACCTCGTCAATTGCTGCTCCAATCGTTTTTCCCCGAGTTCAATAACAATGACAAATGGGCATCTTAGACATCTGGCATCTGTTCTGTTTGATTTTTGGTTTTGTTGCTATTGAAAATGCAATGAACTTTACAGCACAATCGCCATTTATTTTTATCTTTGGTCCGCTCCCGTTTCTCTTTGGCTTTTTGGCTTGTTTCGATTCCGATTGTGGTAATCGCACCCGGTTTTGGGCTTGGCCTGATGGAAATGTTTATCTCCACGGTTTTATTTCGCATGTGCGTGGCTAAAAATAATTTCGATTTTGTTATTGCTCCTGCTGCCGGTGCTGCTGCTGAAAGTATCGACAACCGCAAAAGCTAAAAGCCAGATACGGATACCTCCACATACGCAGATATAGATACAAAAGGCACTTTGAAGTCGGCCATTGAAGGGGCTTCCACTAATTAGCCGGGGCAGGAGCGAACTTATCAGTCTGGCCGCCTTCTTGAGGTCGTTTAACCCATCGGGGCAAGTAAAATAAATCAAGTTTTGGCACTCGAAAGTCTTTTCTAGTAGCTCGTAAAGTGGAAAGAAAGGAAAATTAAAAGTCGCAGACAGACTTGGTAAAAGTTTCGTTCTTTTCTCTATTGCACTTTTCTTTTTTAATTTTATTTTTTTTCCATTCTTGTCTGTTGTGTCTTTTTATGGTTCTTAGCCATGACAATGTCAAAAACCCAATGAAAGCTAAATGACTAAGCAAACTACTAGCAGAACTACAAAAAAAGCAAGAAAATGTGTGTAAATGTAATATCAAATGTTTTAGCAAAGAAAGTTTTATTTCACCGTGTGATTTATGATTGCCCAAAATGATTTTACTAATTTAAATCATATAAAACCTAGAAAATAAGATAGAAAATGTATAGCTAAACTCGGTCGTGTGCCAAATTCATTTTTAGCTTTCTTATGCCCACCAAAGATTCTTTGGGTGTTCGTAAATATAACGTACATATATAGAAACCGCAATCGGATGTACATATATGCACATCTATATATTTGGCAATTGTATTACGCCATGGGGCAAGTTTGCTCTTCGAAATGGCTTCCCAAATTAGTTCATCGCCCATTGAAAAATTAAGTTAATTTGTATTCCATTGATAAAAGTGGCAAAAATTACTTGCTTTAATTAAAACATGTGTATTCGAGAAAGACTTCGTGTAAAAAATAAAGCAATACTTCACCAATCGCTGAAAAGTAAACATTTTAATTTATTCAAGTATTATTATTATTCTTTGAGTAGTGCGAAGCATGGAAAGTTGAAAATAAATATTTTATTGTTATTAAATAAACGCGCTTGACCCTGAGATCAACAAAAATATGAACATAATAAAGTAATGTTTAAAGGAAAATGTGAAAAATGTTTTTACTGGCTTGGAAAACTAAGAGTGGTGCAATTGGATGTAAACATTCAACCAGTCTCTGTGCATTTTTATTATCTTTTTCGGATCGCGTTTGATGTGAAGACATTTGAACAATAGAAGGCCCCTCTTTATGTGGCATCTGTTTATTGAATGGAATGATGAATGAATTATTACTGTTCTCTTAAGAAGTTGAACATTCTCGAATCAACAGAATCGTTCAAGGCGAAAAATGATTAACTATTTCTTCGACCGGAAGTCCGATAGGCTTTATATGACCATTTCGAATATATCAAAAAACATAATCAAAAATTCAAAGAATTTTTTTTAAACAGGAAGTGCAGCACGCGCTGTTTTTCAGATACCAGTTTGCCTAAACTTTGCTTAGGCTCACAGCCATTCGCCAATTTGAAAGAAGGTTCCAATAACATTTGACCTTGCTTTCGACACTTTTGACAGCTCAAAAATCAAAGTTCAAGCCCAACGTGAAAATTGTTTTTTATTTTTCGGACACCTTGAACTTTTTTTCTGTCACTGCGGCAATCGATTGAGTTGAAAAATCTTGAAAAGCAGCTGTGAAGCCTAAAAACAACAGAGGGCAACCCACATGCAGGTCTTGGAGTAGCAAACGCCCCCATTCCCTGCACCCGCGTTACGCTTGACCTTGTGGGTCTGAGTGCCCGCTTCTGCTCTTTTCGTGATGTTTTCGGGTCGGCTCTTTGGCTTATCGGAAGCCCCCAAGTATTGAATCAAGGGCAAGCTTTAAAAGCGCGCGTTTTTATTATTATATTTCGTTTTCATATTTTTGGTGGTTGAGTGAGTCGGACGGGTTCGATAAACTTTTGGGCAGCAGTTAAACAGTCTCGTTATGTTTTTATGGCTCCAAATGTAATTTGTAATCGGACTGATCTGTTTCCACCTTTCGATCTCTCTTCGTTTACCAATTCATTTCGCTAGTTGCTTAAAAAGATATATGTCTTTAGTTTTCCCATTTGATCGGCTTACTTCTGTTAAATCTTTAAAAAAAATCAACTGACGACTTTCTTTTTGATTATATTTAGAACTGCACTTTGAGTAATCTTTGAAATTTGTTGAAACACGATTGCTAAAGCTGATCCATCGTTAGCTAGTCGTTTTATGATAAAAATATGTATATGTACATTCCTTATCAAGAAGCTACTTATAAGAATTCGTTTTAAAAACAAGGAAGAACGCTATAGTCGAGTACCTCGACTATCAGATACCCGTTACTCAGCTATATGGAGATATGCAAGCAGCAAAGCGAGATTAAAATGCGCCACCTACCGGCGGTATACAGATTTAAGCGTTATGGGCGTTAGAGTGGGCGTGGCAAATTTTTTTTGGATCAATCGATAGGTATCGACGAGACCAATACATTTCAGTTAAAATTTTTTATCTAGCATGAAAATTGTGGGCGTCACAGGTTTTCGCGGTTTGTGGGCGTTAAAGTGGGCGTGGCAAACTTTTTTTTCGGTCAATCGATAGGTATTGATGAGAACAATACATTTCAGTTAAAATTTTTATTCTAGCATCAAAACTGTAGGAGCCACAGTTTTGGGCGGTTTGTGGGCGTTAGAGTGGGCGTGGCACTGTGCCGAAACAAACTTGCGCTGCGTAAGAAGCTCAGGAATCTGCACGCCAAATCTCAATAGCCTAGCTCCCATAGTTTCCGAGATCTCAGCGTTCATCCGGACGGACAGACAGACGGACAGACGGACAGACGGACATGGCTAGATCGACTCGGCTAGTGATCCTGATCAAGAATATATATACTTTGTGGGGTCGGAAACGCTTCCTTCTGCCTGTTACATACTTTCCGACGAATCTAGTATACCCTTTTACTCTACGAGTAACGGGTATAATAATAAGTTAAATGAATGTACATAATAGGTACAACATATACATTTGTACATGCTTTCAATGAAACTAAAAACACTTTTAATTTCATCATCAAGGTTACAAAATTTAATGAGTTAAACGTTGGTTCTCGAAACATTTCTATAAGTACCTAGAAACGATAATTATGTCAGTCATTCCTAAAAAATAAAATTGAAAACGACAAAGTCGAAATGGAGTAATATTATTATATTATAATGTATTATTTACCTTATATACAAATTTCATTCATTTAATTAATTTAATTTTTTTCATTTTCAGATGATGATGGCTTCTGCAACTCAGGGGTCAGTGATGAAACCCCCAACTTTCGTGTCCAGGTGCTAGGATCCACTTTTGCATCGCTTTAACAACAGCATTTGCAGATTCGAATCGGGATACGAACTCCCACCTACACTGATATAAGCCGCAGATAATCCACACATATCCGAGGTAGATCGTGGCCAGGCCGAAGAATTCAATCTGATGGTTGTGGCTTGCGAAGATGCCTTCAGCGAACACGGAAGACTTGCGGCGAAAGTTTCTAGTAGTGCAGCAGCAGCGCTCAGCACCGCCCAACCTGGCTGGCGACAGTCTGCCCTCGGCGATACCCAATGTCGGTGTCAACTCAGCGACCACCAGCCTGATGATGACGACGTCCACGGGTCTGGGAGGAGTGACAATGGGCGCCGGAGAACCCGAGCGAACCTATGTCTTTCCAGGCGGCAATCCGCTAGTAGGTAGCGCACCTGGCGGAGGACAGGGCATACCCGGAGTGGCCATGGCGGCTCCCTCGAGGGGCCATGCCCGCTCAATTAGCCATGGTGGAGGAGCCATTGTCGGGGCCAACGGACGACCCATAAAGTCGGCCATGAAGGGTCACCAGAGGGCTTTTTCGCAGGGTCAAATCACAGACTCACCACCTGGAAGTGCTGCGCCGGCGGGTAGAGGTCACAGTCGCGTGGGATCCAAAACGGATTTCATCCTGCCACCGGGTCACAAGGAGGAACCGGCAAGGGAACCCTCGGCGCCCACCTCAGCGGCTGGGGGGCGTGGCCATTCGCGGCAAGCCTCAAGATCCGAATCAATATACACACTCCGGCGTACAGAAGTACCGCCCTGGTGGAAACGCCTCAGCCTGTGCAATTACAACACCGCCGATAAGTTGGAGGAGCGGAGCTATCGGATGGTGGTGCCCAATCACACGGTGCCACCAAAGACACCCAAAAGGGACCATCCCAATGGACAGTTTGTGGGCAACAAGATACGGACGACGAAGTACACGCTGCTCTCGTTCATACCGAAGAACCTGCTGGAGCAGTTCCATCGAGTGGCCAACTTGTATTTCATCTTCATTGTCCTGCTCAACTGGGTGCCGGAAATCAGTGCCTTTGGCAAGGAGGTGGCCATGATACCGGTGCTCTTCGTCCTGGGAGTGACGGCCGTAAAGGATCTCTTCGAGGATCGGAGAAGAAGGGCGTCCGACAAGAGGATAAATAACACCACCTGTCGGGTGTACGATGGGTGAGTACAATATATAATAGAAAATATGATTTTTAAAAGAACGTTAATCAGATATTGTGTTTCATTTAAAAATAAATGAACTTAGACCATTAGTAGTATTTAAATAAATATCTATCTTGATTCATCGAATGATAACAGTAAACAAAGGAAAATATGAAAGGGTAGGTTCTGCCACAATCATAAATTTGATAAAAGATAATGAAATCCTTAAATCCCAAAGTTGATTGAAAATTGTGTTATTAATTTTTATTAAAGGCATATAAAGGCAGGGAGCGATAAAGAAATTCTAAATGACGTTATATTTCAATTGGCTGAACAAACAATGCACTTGCCAAGGAGAACTCATTCACAGAACTAGTTTAAACCAACGGAAATTAAAATAATTGTATTATGTGTCCAATTCATTCACAAAACCAGTTTAAACCCACAAATAATATTGTCAATAATGGGACAAGTGCCACAAGCCCAACACTTGCCCATTACACTTACAATCTCCCCGACAATTTGTCAATTTCCCGTTAGGAAAACTTTCCAGAAGTCTTTTGTGAAAAGTAAACCAAAGCATTTGCCAGATTTCGAACCCTCCGGGCAAGACAGATTTTAACGAGCCACTTGGCTTTGGTTTTATGTACGTCTGCCTCGGGTGGTTGCTCCTATCCCACCCCATCGACCACTGGTTGCTGATGTAAATTGTTTGTCCCGTCTGCGATTTGTTGGTATACCTACATATTTTAAAACGTGATCTAGAAATCGATAAACTGCCAGGAGAGCAGAAGCAACCACGGCAACAATAACGCTGGTTAAACTTTCCCTCACTGTTTGAACTAAACTTTTCCCCGGGCCCCCCTTTCTTTTCATTTCGCTTCGGCTGTCTCTTTTCTGCCGTATCTTGGGGTTTGGGCTTTTGTCCCACATTTGCGCGTGGTTGACGCATACTTTTTACCTACCTGCCCTCACCTTTCGATGGCCAGACTTTCCAACCAAGCGACAATTTACTTGCATTGCACGTGGACATACACAGAAAACAAATTCTAATTAATTTGGGGCTACACTAAATGATGGAGACTATGATAAAATACAAATAAATTTCAAAAAATTGTACCATTAATGTAATTTGGAATTCGATAGTATTTATTTAATTGATCAATCATTTTAGAAAAGAAAAGTAAAGACACCAAACATATAAATATACAATAATATTATAAATATATACAGCTGTCATTAAACTTTATATTTACATAATTATATAAGACCTGGTAAATATTATAGTCCCAAGATTAAATGTAAAATCATAAGGGAATGAGGATTTCATTGAAGTGCTTCAACCTCAATTGTTTTCTTCCATCGTTTTTTCCTAGCTTTATCTCAGCTAGTTATTCAATTGTTGAGTTGGTTTCCCGTTTGTAGCCAAAAACCCACCAAAGACAAAAAGACAATGGCCCCAAGAAAACTAAACAATAATATGTTGGCTCTCCATATCAAACCATGCAAAACCTATTTTTTGCTCTATGTGCTGACCAATGAACTTACACATTGTTGTTGCTAATTATATTTGCATTTCCCTATTCTCTTTGTCGCTCTTTGCACAATTGTCATAAACCAAAGCGATTTTGTTGTTGGTCACTGTTGTTCGCAAAACGTGTCTGCACAGTGGTTTAAGAACTGTGGTTCCAACACATAGTATTTTCAAAAGTTTCGTTGATAAAATCAAGTAAAGTTTTCAATAACAAACGCGTAATTTTCTTTAAAAATGTTTTTAGCAATTTTTTTCTTTTAGGAAATTTTTGTTTTTATAGATAAATGAGTTTATAGACAATGAGTTTATAGATAAATGAGTTTATACAGAAAAAACTATCTAAGAACATTGTTTTTGATTTGTGAACATTGTTCTTGAATTGAGAACATTGTTCTTGAATTGAGAACATTCGTTCTTAAAAACCGTGTAAGTACATTTTGGTATCAATATAGGAACGAAATGGTGAGAAGAGAAAAGTTAAATTGAGTTTACTTAACAACTTTTTGATAAGAATACACTGAAGACTGAACTAATAGTTCATTTGTACATACTTGTACTTAAATACCGTCAATTCAACTTGATTCGAGCAAAATAAAAACATTTTCAACTTAACAATGTCGTTCTTTTTTTAAAAACATTTTCAACTCAGATGAGAACGTCAGAATTTTCTCTGTGCATATAAAAAATAAAATGGTTTTCCGAGTAGTAGCTTTATTCAATGTTTATGTGAATGTTTGAAAAAGTGTTCCTTATTTTTACTTATTTTTAGATATTATATGTGGCACTATTAAAACCTTAAACCGATAGTCAGACAAAAACTTCGAGCCAGACATACCACTCGCGCCCACCATCCGTCCTTTTCCAAGTTGCCGTTCACAAAAGCCGAACGTTACATGCAAATAACACGCATACGAGGCCCACTAAATATGGCAGTCGGAGCCAAGCGACTGGACAACTGACTCACAGTCGGTTGAGGCCGAAAACCTCGGTACAGTGAGGCAGCGGGACTGAAAAACAGGCCTACCAGATCTCGTACACTTACCAGTGGGGGCAGTGTTTCCAGTTTAACGGCCCTGACCATCTCACGCTTGTCCGATTTTTGTCCACGAATCGAATTCAAGACCATGTGCAATGATCGCCGCATGAATCATGATTGCGAACTCGAATGGCGGTGTGAACTGCTCGAGGTTTCTTCGCTCCATCTTTCACTATCATTGTGATTACGAATGAACAAATTATTGGATCAAGGTGAACTGAAAATATTTCCCATTGAAAGATATCTAGATATTACTTAAAAGGTTTCTCTTCTTTTTTTTTTGCAACAATTTCACTTTAAATGTCGTGTTAATTGCAACCCAATCGAATCGTTTTTGATGTGCTAACCGGATGATTAAGTCCAAATTGAAGTGTGAAAAGTCTGTGGGTTTAATTATTTTGAAATTAAATTCACACAAAGAATTCCAAACAAAATTAGTCACAGGTACGTAATCGGGAAGCTTAGGGAAGTATTTAAAGGTATTGTTTACTAAATTTGTTATAAGAAAATATATCAACGGCGAATGTGGGTCTTATAGTGTGAATCATGAATTATTATATAATAACTTTTCTGTTTATCAAACTTGAGAAAATGTAAAAAACTTATGTAAAAATCTAGAATGACTCAAAAATAAATACATACACCAACTTGAGCATCCGATGATTCATTCGGGGCTCCACTTTATTATGTTGACTTGAGTCAATTCTCAGTGATTTACGGTTTCAGTTATTTTGTTATTGATATGCCCATCTCAGAAATAGTGCAATAAATTTGCAATCAAGTTACTTTGTGCATCTTGGCGACAATCGAAAGATGCAGTGGTCAGCGGAAAAAAATTACTTAACGCTTATCAAATTGGAGACGAGGTCACACCATCGCATTTTCTCCTATATGGTTAAAGTTTTCTGCTTACAGAACAAAATGCCTTATGCAAGGCATTATGAAACACTCCAGCGCATCTGGCGATCTGAACGATATACGATTTTTCTAGTACGAGCCGGAAACAGTAAACATTTTCCACTCGTTGCAACTCGCCAATAAATGAAATATTTAAATTTTCATTTTGTTTCTTTGTGATTATTTATTGCCTCTTGTAAACATTAATGACCAAGATTTGCGGATTTGCAATTGCATTTTGGTATTTCGATGAAATCACCACTAAAATACCCAAATTATTAATGAGGGAGAAACGCGATCCATAAAATGAGCATTTTTATGATACCTAATTGCCATGTAAAACGAATTCCATTAAATAGTTGATTCATGCTAATTTTAGATCAAGGTTAATGTTAACGTAAGCTCTAAGTTTGTTACACCAACTTTACCATCAAGTTGAAAACCAAGTATAAAGAAACTTTGTTTCCACTTTCTGAACTTGACTTACCTTGGCTTAATAGAATAACTTTATAAATAATCAATATCCTCATTTTAAATTCCATCTAACCGCACGTGTGCTAAACTTATGAAAAGTTTATAGCCAGAACAGACTGAATAACCTTATTTAATTGTCTGTCTGAGATGGGCGTGAATCAGCTGCTGATTCTCTCAGTTGTCAAGTGTGCACTTTCACCGAAACTGCATGAATATATTCCGAGTGTTGGGTCAAACACCACAGCCGGAGCTCTATGATTCTGGTTCGGATTTTGAGGTCTCTGCATTAAATATAAAACACGGCCACCAAGGTTGTGGGAAGAATTTGTGTGGGGCACGTTGCGGGTTCGAAAAAGAGAGAACGCCAACCTTGAAAAGCAATCGCGATACGACCGCAGAACTGTATAACCGAATGTATCTGTCGGATGTGGTTCTAAAGCCAGTTAGATGATGACGATGATGGCGACGATCATCGGAATGAGAATATGACAGACCCCTGATAGTTATGCTCTACTGGGCCGTATCTGTTCTTGTGCCATTGCGCTGATCTCCTCCGTTTTTTATTTGGTTTATATGGATAGTTTATTGTTTGTTCGTTTGGTAAAAGGCTTAATTTTTGCCTGCAACACATACAATGTAAAGCCTGAACTCATGACATTGAAAATGCTAAAATACAGCAACAGACAAACGGGTTTTTCATACCCCATTCAAGCAAACCGGTTGGCAATCATCGTTTACTGCCTCAGACTCGGTCTCAATCTCAAATCTCAGTTCCCCAGCCTGGGAGACTCATGTATGTGCTGGTACAGCGGCGTTTGTCTAGCAAGAACCACCGACTCTCCATCTACATCTCCATCTCCGCCGGATTCCCAATCTCGGTGGTGGCTAAACCTGATGCCCCTGCAAAGCCCAAGCCCACCGTCTAATGGCCATGTTAACAACCCCCAGAGACCATTAACACCATGCTGCAATTGTCAGTTGTGTTTGCCGTTTGCTGTTGGTCAAGTTTTCCGATTTGTTTTCTTCATATTTGTTGTCTTCACTGGTTTTCTTGCAGTGTCACTGATCCGGTGGCTC